TGGATGATACACGGGAACTGGGTGACACGGGGGACCTGGGTGACACATGGGACCTGGGTAATACATGGTACCTGGGTGACACACGAGACCTGGGTGACACATGGGACATGGGTGACATGGGGTACCTGGGTGACACATGGAACCTGGATGATACACGGGACCTGGGTGACACAGGGGACCTGGGTGATATGGGGGACCCAGGTGACATGGGGACCTGGGTGACATGGGGGACCTGGGTGATATGGGGGACCCAGGTGACATGGGGACCTGGGTGACATGGGGGACCTGGGTGACACTCGGCACTCACTACAAGCATCATCGTTAGAACTGAGAACCAGTGTGGGACTGGAAGAGAAGACTGCGAACACCTGCCTTCTGCAGAACCCTGGCTGTGGTCAGATGGAGAAACATGGCTACAGCCATGGTTTGAGGGGAGGATGACAGTTTTTTGAGACCCTGGGCAGCAGGATGCAGGGTGTTGTCCTCCACTGACACTTCAGGACTGATGCTCCCTTTTCTCTCTTCCCCAATCCCAGCACCTGGAGGGCTGGGTGTGTGCAGACACTCCTCACAGATGCACTTCATCACTGGTCACCTGGTGAGCAGTGACATAGCTTCCACGGTGTGAGCAAGCACCCCTCCACGTCCTCCTTCCAGCAGGACTTCTAAAGTGGTCTCTCCAAAGCCTCTCCATGACCATATGTGTGGTGGTCTCTTCTCAGTCTTGCCCTAACCATCCACTCTGAGGCAGGTGCACTGCTGAGCCCTCCTGCCCTTGCTGGTTATAACCTTTCCTCCATCTCCCTTCACACTTCCATCTCACTCACAGATTTTACTGCTCTGCCTACACCCTGGAGGTTGGCTTCCCTGCCTCTCACCTTCATCTTGCTCACTAAGGGACAAGATCTTATCTCAAGCATGTCTCACACCCATTTACTGACTCCACGCATGGGCTGATCCATCCCATGGGCATGCTCAGTGATGACGGCGTCACTGCATCTTGCTGTCCAGGGTCTCAGAGAGCTTCCCCCCCTCCCCAGTAAACCATGACTCTGCAGCTGTGCTGCTCCATCTGACCACGGCCAGGGTTCTGCAGAAGGCAGGTGCTCGCAGGCTTCTCTTCCCTTCCCACACTGGTTCTCGGTTCTAACCACGATGCTTGTAGTGGGTGCCATGTGTCACCCAGGTCCCCCTGTTCACCAGGTCCCCTGTGTCACCCAGGTCCCATGTGTTACCCAGATCCTCTCTTCACTACTAATGCACTTGCTGCTTAGCTGCTCAAGGTGCAGGCAGCTAAAAATGGCTCTCACCTGAAAACTCTTCAGCTGAAGGGTGTCACTTTACCCAAGATTACAACCTCCAGGATGGGGATGAGGACAGCCGTGTGCAAGGACCAGTCAGTGGAGGTGGGTGCAGAGGCCCCCTGCTCTAAGGCAGGAGGATTCTGAAGGGGCTGTCCTGGCTCCAAAGCATGTTCGATCATTTCAGCTTAGCTCTTCCCTTGGCTCTGTGTGGCTCTTCCTTCACCCTCCTCCAGGAGAGAGTGCTGTTCAAGGGACCCCCACCCTTCCTCAGTGTAAGTCTCCAAGTCCTAGGGTCTGTTCCACAGGGAGCACCTGGCTCAGTGTCTGTCTTCAGTCTGGCTCCTGCCCCAGGCACCTGTCTCTCAGGTTAACCCATTTAGTCTCTGGCCTTTGCTCCTGAGGCCCTTGGGTGTGTGGAAGCCTCAGCTTTAAGGCCCCATGGCTCAGGTTGGCTGGGCCATCTGCCTTTTAACAGATGATTCAAGGAGAGAAAGCACTCTGGAGTTAGCTGCCCAGATCCTTCTGCAATGCCCTGCTGACCTCAGCAGCCCTGAGGGGTCCATGAGGGGTAACCCTGCATGTGAGAGCCCCCCCTGCCCTGTACTTGCCCCTCCTCACACCCCTTGTTTCCTAGGTTCCTTAAGGGAGCCATTAGTCACCACCCTGGAGCTCTTTCATATATATATATGAAATATATATATATATATATATATATTTTTTTTTTTTTTTGGTTAAGAGAAATGAATGTTGAAAACACAATTGAGATATTTCAAGCAAATGTAGAGCCTGTCTCCAAATATGTTGCAGAAACACCGCTGGGCAAACAGCTCCTGGGAGGCACAGCTCAGGCACAGACAGCAGCTGCCACAATTTATGGGCTGCTGCTTTTTTTTCTCTCTTCTTCATTTCTTTCTAATTCTATTTGTAATAAAACCTGCTGCTCTGATGGCCTGGTAGTTAAACAGATTTTTCTTTCCCATCTTGAGACCTCCCAGGTGGCCTGGACAGGGCCTTCCAACTGCGGAGTATCAGTTGACTCAGAGCTCTAGTCTTAAAACTGTCCTGAGGTTCTGTCTGGAACCTGCCTGGTGGGGGCATAGCTGGGTTTCTCTGCTTCGTGAAGAGCTGAGCCAAGATGCAGTCTATACGAAACCTTCACCTGATCCCACTCATGCTGGAGCCAGGAAAGCCCTTCAGTACCATTGTACCTTGGAGCATGGGGCCTCTATGCCACCTCTACCAACTGGTCCTTTCACATGACTATCCCCATCCCTGTCCTGGAACTTGTGATCTCGGGTGAAGTAATGCCCTTCAGTTGAGCGTTTTCAAGGCATGAGTATGGATTGTTGCCTTTCTGGCTTTGAAAGAGCAGGTGATGCTGACACCTGTCCTTCTCAGAGAAGAGCTGACTCTTTGGGGGTTTCTTGGTTGTTTGCTTTTTGTTATTGTTTTGTATCTTTATGTGGAATCTTTGAAGGCATATATGTAGGGGCTTTTCTTGAGTCTGACTTACTAAAGACTGTGGCTGTTGATTCCCTGATTCACACATCAAACTTGCTTGCCTTCCTCCTGGGAAGCAGCTCTCACTCATCCAAACACTGGTGGTACGGAATTCTGCAGCATAAAAGTGGCCACCAGGAAGATCACTGGCTACATGCGAGCGTGTGTGAGGCCCTCGCTTGCTTGTCACAGGAGTGCTGCTGGCAGATGCCATGTGGATCCTCAGGATCCCCAGTGTCACACAGCCAGTCAAGGATGAGCTACTTTGATCTAGGTCTATCTGTATTAAAGTCTAGGCTGTCCCCTCCTCTCTTCTCTATGCCTGGGTTGTAATACGTGGGGTGTTCTAATGCAGGTGTGGACTGGAGATAGGCCAGAGGTTGGAGCCATGGTTTTGTGTTCCTTGAAGTAGTTTTTTTTTGTTGTTGTTTTTTTTTTTAAGATAGTCTCACTTTGTCACTCTTGGTAGAATGCCCTGGTGCTATAGCTCACAGCAACCTCAGACTCCTGGGCTTAAGTAAGTCTCTTGCCTCAGTCTCCCAAGTAGCTGGGACTATAGGCACCTTCTACAATGCCCAGCTATTTTTAGAGATGAAGTCTTGCTCTGGCTTAGGCTGGTCTTGAACCTATGAGCTCAGGTAATCCACCTGCCTTGGCCTCCCAAGTGGTGGGAGTATAGGCATGAACTACCATGCTGGGCTTCTCAGAGTATTTTTTTTAAATTAAGTGCTTAACACTTGAAAATTAGGAGCTCTTATGTTAAGCAAAGTGTTCATCTTTAGACTTGGCCATATTGTGCTTCTGTGTTGATGTGACAGCCAGTGGCTCTGGCCTAGTAAACCTACCTGCCCATCTCTCCCCCACTGAGATGGATGCCCAGCTTGCCATGGGCCCTGCCTGGTCACTTGACTCATTCATGTTACTTGCCTGTCCTCTGTGGGCATTTAAATTTGTGGTTCTTGATTTATTGCTTTTAAAGAAGCAATTTCTGTCCAGGTAGGAATCAGTTGGGGTAAAAGTCAATTTCTGCCTCTGAGTTGAATTTTATAGGCTTTGATTTTTCTTTTCAACGTTTTGGTATAGTAGTTCAGTAAAAATAGCAGTAATTATTGGCCATTTATTGAGCACTGTAACATGTAGCTGACTGCTAGGCTTAGTAGACAGCTCTTTGATGGGAAGAACATGTATAATTTGCTGGCTTAGTTTGTGCTTAAACCCTGTTGCCACTCTGCATGTCCTGCAGAAGTGGACTCTGGAGCGACACAGAGAGGGGAGATAAATGCAGAGAAAAACATTTTCCTTTGTTTTTTTTTCCTTTTTTTGAGAGTGCCATAGTGTCAGCTCAGAGCAACCTCAGACTCCTGGGCTCAAGCGATCCTCCTGCCTCAGCTCCTGAGTAGCTGGGACTGCAGGCACCTGCCTTCATGCCTGGGTAGTTTTTCTACTTTTTTTTTTTTTTTTGCAGTTTTTGGCTGGAGCCAGGTTTGAACCTGCCACACATCCAGTATGTGGTACATGGGGCTGGGGCCCTACTCTTTGAGCCACAGGTGCCATACTAGTTTTTCTACTTTTAGGAAAGACAGCTCTTGCTCTTGCTCAGGCTGGTCTCCAACTCCTGAGCTCAAATAATCTTCACACTTTGGCCTCCCAGAGAGCTGGCCTCCCTCACAGATGGGAGCCGCCATGCTGAGTGTGGTAGTTGTGTTGATTCCATTTGCTCTTGGAAACTGCTGGTTCTCATGGGTAAGACTGCCCACACTCAGGAAGTACAGCCTTAACTGCTGATGTCAACACAAGAAGCAGCTCAGGCATTTCAGAGAGAAACAGCTTAAGAAATGGGAACTCATCAGGAGCATGAGTCTGCCATCTTACTTGCTGTGCCTCCTGTAAGTTTATCTCCATCTGACAGTGAGAAATGTGTGAATTCCTTATTGTTTCAGTTGAAGAAACATCTGCTTTTACCTGATCTAAACCTATTTCAGAGAAACATGAACTAGAAGCAAAATGGAATTGGACTGATCTCATAGCTGCAGTTGACTTAAATTTTGAAATGTTGGTAGTATTTAATATTAACACAGGGAGCCCCTAAAGCTAAAGTTATTATTTATTTGCTTATTTTAAATAAGTATTTGTTTTTGATTAAGACAATGCCTAGAATATTGCTTTAAATTTTTATTGTTTGACTTTTTCTTTCAGGATCCTGCAGGGATCTTTGAATTGGTGGAACTTGTTGGAAATGGAACATATGGGCAGGTGTATAAGGTAAGTGCCCTGAGTTTGAGCACATAAATGCCGTACAACAGGTTTAAAATGAAGTGATACACCCATTAATTGACTCTCCATTGTTGTGAAGAAGGCTATCTACCTCCCACTGTTGACGCCTGATGGGAGCACTGAGTTTTACAAGCTGGACAGTAATAATAAAAGTTAAACTGAGATTGAGCTGAAGAATAACACCTTTATGCCCTTTTACTAATTTTTACTTTGCAAATTTACTCAAAAAGTATTTTAAAATGGCATTTTTCCCTAGTAAGTTATCCCAAAAAATGATTGTTTCAAAATGTGGGTTAATTCTTCTTCTGGTTCTCAAAAGGAAATGGAAAGAACTGGTTTGGGACTAAAACTTTTGGGGTTTTGGTGAGTGATGTATTGAAATGCTTTCAAAATAAACTCAGCTGTTTCCTCATAACTATTTCTATGGAAATAGCCATCATTTTCCTTAGTGGTATCGATACAGAATGGCATTCTCAACATAAATTATCTCTCATTGTTATATTTTAAAAAACACCTTCTCTGAGCTTTTAACTTCCCTTAGTTAATTAAAATTATTTTCAAAGTAGTCCAGATTGTAATATTCTAATTCTGCAGAATGTTGAGCACATTATGTATGGAATGTTCTTGAGAACCTGGCTTTTAAAGCACAGGTATAATGGATATACCTTTATGCCATTATCTGAGGTTCTCTTTGGTATCCTCTCCAGGGAAAAATTTCTCCCTTGAAAGAAATGTTGTGTCCTCAAATGTCAGCCTTTTACACTTAGACCGTCGTCTACCCAGGCTGCTCACTTGATGTTAATCCTGCCTGACATAGAAAGAAATGTGTCTCAGCAAAGGCTTTTAAATACTTTCAGTGAAGATAATTAAGTTGGAAGATTGTGTTATTGCCTTTTGAGAAATTGGATTGAACTTGCGAAGTAACTGATGAACTGAGCTCTGACATAGGGAGGAAATCACTCCTGTCCTGCTGTCTGTGGAGGGCTCTGCAGCCTGCTGTGCTGTGTGGTCTGTGGCTCTGTCTTGTCTTAGAGCCGTCCCATTGTCATGTACTCCTGCTCCTGCCTGGGAGACTGTTGACAGCTTTGCATGTGAATCCACGAGAAGAAATTGCACACTTTTGTAAAAGGAGGTAACAAAGAGATTCAGTGAGGATGAGAAGGCTTGGAAAGTCCAGAGTTATCCCTAATTTCTTGTTACTTGAGAAGGAGAATGAAAGGTAGAAGATCTTAGATCTTTTTAGAGAGGGAAGACAGACAGGGCAACCCACCCAGGTTGCTAACAGTATCATTCTAAGGGATTCCATTCTTCAGTGGCTGACACATCACACCTCACACTCTGCAGAGAAGGGTCCTGGTGAACACATTGGACTTTGTACAGGAGACTTGTTCTCCTCATCAGCCCCATGTATTGTTCTGTGGCCTTGTCAGCCTTTTCTGTGCTTTAGCCAGAAGAAAATATAGTTAGAAATGCTTTAAGGAATTGTGATGCTTTATGTAAAGAATAGTAGCTGTGATTAGGAAAACATAGCATGTAACCTTCTGGGATTAACATTTTTTACCCATCGAGGGCTTGGTTTTAGGCAGCCAGGTGATGTGAGGGGGCACCACTTAACGCACAGAGACACCAGTATTTCCCGAGACCACTAATCCAGGTCTTCTGTTTCTCTTGAGCTATAAAGGATTGAAGTTTAATAAAATAGCACAATGTGAGCTAAAAGGTAGGTGAACCTAAAGAAAATTAATCACAAGGTGTTCATACTATAGGTTATATGAATTTATGGAATAGGTATGTTTCTAAAACATTGTGGATATAAATAGAAATTGGTTAGCCCTAGAAGAAGGCCTTTATACAGAGTTCCGTGATGAATGTTTCTTTACATAAACTGCTAAACATTTTTTTTAAAGCATTAACATGTTCTCCATTTCTATAATCTTGTCATTTCAAGATTGTAATATAAAGGAAAACATAGTGTGTAACCTTCTGGGATTAACATTTTTTACTCAGCCTAATTGTCTGGAGATTTAATGAGGTTATTGCTTTTATGAGTGGTTTATGCCTACACGTATGTGTCTTATTCTTGCTTTTTATGAGTATATATCTAAACTATCCTTATTTAACATAAATGCTGATTTGGGGATTGAAACAAACATTTTTATCAAACTAGTGATATATGTACTGTTTACAGTTCAAAAATTTTTATCTACAATAAAATCAAATTTTGTCTAATGACTTTTTAATGTCTAAGGAAATAATAATTAAAGTACTTATCTAACATGGCAATTTATACTAATGGATTTTCTGATACTGAACTAGTCTTTTATTCTTAGAATAAACCATGTTTGGTCATGAGTATTAGCTTTTTAATATGCTGCTTTGTTTGCTAATATTTTCTTTACAGTTTTTTATCTATATTCCTAAGCAAGATTGTTCTATAGGTTTTTTCTCTATGGAGTCTTTTCTGGAGAAAGTAGTTCCAAAATAGATACTTTCTCTGTGCTCTATAACACTCCAAATAACATTGGGATTACCTGCTTTATTAGGTTCAGAACTGCTAAACTTTTGATTTTAATTTTTTGTAGATCTCTTGTTTGGTGTTCCTGGTTTTTATAAAGTCAGATAATTTTATGAATATCTATATGGATGGAGCCTTTATTTTATAGAAGAATTTATTGCAAGTTTCTTCTTTTTTACAAACTGTCCTGAGAGTCATGATATAATTTTAATTACAAAGAGTGCTTGAGAAACATACTTAATACCTACATATACTTTGTATTTATTATATTAAGAGGGTTTTTCCTGAAGTACATCTGCATGTGAGCCAGATACATCTGGATATGGAAATGTAAGTATTTTCTATAAAAGCCATTTAATAATGTTTAGCTTTTCAAGTTTGATTCTGGTCTTACTCCCAATTGTAGCTTATTATTTGTTTAGCATTTTTGTCTCAGGTAATCATGTAGTAATTCAGTTATCTTCTTTTTTTTTTTTTTTTATTTACTAGAGAGAATAGGCAAATATTATAAATAAAAGCCAGTGATTCTCTCTCAGGACTTTTAATGAGGAAACCATCTCTGTATTCATGGTTCCCATTGAGGAATAAGCCAGCAGAAGACCCCATCCCTGTTTGCTAAGATCTTGGCTATGTACTGGCATATTAATGTTACCACCTATTGGAAACTTAATGGAGTCTGCATGCATTTTTATTAAAATATAGTAATTATTTTAGTAAGTCATAATACAGTAGAACCTCCTTAGTTGACCCCTTTCTTACACTGACCACCTCCTTAAGGTAACCTGATGTTTCTGGACTGGACATACGCCATACTGGACATGTGCTAGTCAGCATAGCAGCCTCATTGCTCGTGGTGACCACCTCCGTGTGCTGACTAGTGTTGTCACCTGCAGAGGTTCTGTTGTAGGTGTGTAGTGTTTACTTGTAAAACACCACTGCAAATTAACCATAGATTTCCAGTTAATGTTAGTCTATCCTGTCTCTTAATTTGCCCTTTTGAAATATATATTAGTTATTGCAGAGACAAAGACACATTTTATCCCTGGGTGATAAAGCATTTGGGAACATGATAGATTCCTTGGTGTTTCTCAAGTTTCTTTTCAATTATCCTGAAGGTTGTGAAGTGCAAAGTGCAGAGGCCGTCTCACTGTTATAGAGCTTGTGAGAGAGATACTGTGTGTGTGTTTTCAGAGGGTCATAGGGTCTTCACAGGTCATCTACTTCTATTAGCCTGTCCTTGGTCACTTCTAGGCACATGGTGCTCATCCCCTCACAGCCAGTCTGTTTTCCTGCAGCTCCTATAAATATTTGTTCTATGCTGAACTGAGATCCCATCTTCTTAAAGTCATTTCAATCCTTTCATAGCTGTGGAGTGATTGAAAATTTAAAATGAAATGTTTTCTTCCACAAGCATGTAGCCCTTCAGATACATGGGGATGTCTTCCTTTCAGCAGATGTACATGGCCTGTCCTGGTCTCCAGGCAATGTGGCCTCCGCTACTTAGTTTGTTCTTAATGTCAGTCCCAGGCCTTTTGTTATCCCAGCTTCTGTCCCAAAACTATTCTATTGTGTCTATTACAAAAAGTAGTATTTTGTGTTGCCAGTATTTCACAAAATCTTTTGTATCCATCATTTGATTTCTTATTTAATTTCTATTATAATTTCATGAGCACCAGACCCGGGCTCTTTATAGTTCCCTCTGCCTGGTACAGCATTCCCCATGACCCATCCCCTACCCCCAGCTCTCTGGTGACATAATTCCCTCTGCCTGGTATAGCATCCTCCAGGGCCTGTCCCCTACCCCTGGCCCTCTGGAGACTGGCTTCTTTCTCTTCCAGTCTCAGAGCCAGTGTGGGCTCCTCAGGGAGCTGCTTCTCCCCCTGTGCCTGCTGCAGCCTCCACCTCAGCTGCCTGCGAGACGTCCTCTGCCATGTTAGCCTGTTTGACTGACTCTGTTACTGCCACTGTCTGAATTGTCTTACTTTTCTGTTTGCATGTGTATTAAATAATTCAAATACATAAATAAAGGGAAAATAAGGCCAGAGACCTGGAACCCAGCATGTTGAAGTCACCAGCATGCCCCAGCCTGGCACCAAGGCATGTGTACCCTGCAGGCCCAGAACTCAGCTGTGTGTTCCTTGGTAATTGCTTTTATACTTGATCCCAGGTTTTGCAGCATTTCCTATCAAGTCTTCTCTAGAAAAGGAAATCTGCACAAAAGTAACAAGCAAAATGCTCATTAAGGTGGGAGGAGAATGTGGATTTCATGTTAAGTGAACGTTTCTAGTCTGTAGAAGTGAAACCTGTGCTGTGTACAGAGCCAGACAAACGATTTCCAGTGTTCAGTCTTCCAGCCTAGGTTCCTAAACTTGGTATGCAAATCAACAATGCAAATTAAAAATGTAGATTTGCAGGCCCCACCCTCTGAGTTTGATTTAGTAGGCCTGGGTATGGGCCAGCAGGCTGTACTTAG